TATAGACTCCAAAGCCCAGGGCCAGGCTTTGTGGGGGCACTACAGGGCCAGAGCCTCCTTGTGTTTCGGTGCCCACTGTCTTATTGGGCATCTTGACTCAATCTCCTCCACTGAGTGCCCTCAGCTGAGCCCTCACCAGCCCTCATGTCAGTCCCCTGTCAAATCTCTCCACTCTTATCTCCCCACCGGCTCCAGTGCTCCTCCCACCAGTGCCTCCATTTCTCCTCCTAGCTTCCTATCCTGCAGATATCCCAGGAGCCAGACACAGCACACCCTAAATGCCTTTGGCCTTTGGGAGTTGGTGTCTCCATCCAAACCTTCATATTGTGTCTACCCACGGCCAACAGGTCTCAGTGGAAAAGCCACTGCTACTCTGGGCACTACTGGGCTGGATGTGGGGAATTGCAGCTGCCCCTTCTATCTCGGGGGAGACTCACCCTTGAAAGCCAGCTCCAGGCCGAGAGAAAGGCCAGCAGTCACATGAAGAGCCCACACGCAGGTGACAACCAGAAGTCACGTGAGGAGCCCACATGTGGGTAACATGGCCATGGGCCACAGCTGAGGTCCCAGCCAACCGCCAGCTGCGCCCTGCATGGGGCAAACAGACACCGACACAGAGCCTCACCCAGACTGCACACTGGTGATCAAACTGAGCGATGCAGTCAACAAGCTGCCAAGGTTTGGGGTGCTCTGCCGCACAGCAGCAGATAAGTGGGAACCACATCTCCACCCTTGATTTTTCTAATCTCATACTCCTTGCACCTAACAATTCCCAAACCCCGCCCAGCCCACTCCCCTCCCCCAGACCTTCTCGCTTCCATGTTGAGGGCCAAGAACCTGGGTGCCCATGCTTCTCCCAAACACATTCACAAGCCTCCAGCCAGAAACACCAGCCCAAGCCTGACCACCCAGACCAAGCCTCAGCCCTGCACCACTCAGCCATCGTGTGTCTGCCCCTGCCCCTCCCGGCCCACTATCCCTACCAGAACCCTGCCTGGGCAGGGGACAGGACTTTCCCTAGACTCTTAAAACAGTCTCACAGGGGCTCACAGGAGCAGCGCTGGATTTCTGCAAATGAGAAGACGAAGGCTCCAAGAGTGTCTGCCTAACACAGCAAGTCAGCAGCAATCAGGCTATGACCTGCCTCCTGCAAGGCCTCCCCACCCTGCCTCTGCCCTGGTCACCCTCCACCCTCCTCCCCTGCCCCCACCTGGAAGCCATAGTTTGTACCAGTTTGTTCAAACACAAATTCAAAGCAGCAGAAAACATAGAGAAACTGCGTTTCTGAGAAAAATGCCAAGAAGATGACTTGAGTGTGGACACAGGCTGGATTAAGACATGACCTGCAGGCCAACACCTCTGTGGCGATGAGACACCAATGCTGAGATGTCACCACCAAGGCACAAGGAAGCCCTGGCTTCCTCTGCCATGGCACTGCTACAAGACAGCTACCCTTCAGGATGTGGCCACTATATAATCTAACATCATACATGAAGCAGGTGCCTGGAGCCCTCCCACCATGCAAGACACATGGAAATAAGCAACAAACATGTAATCCCCAGAACAAGGTGTCTGTTCATTGCAAAATGCTCTTCATACTTGCTTTTAAAACTGACTGAGCCAGTGGCTCACATCTGTAATCTCAGCTACTCAGGAGGCTGAGATCTGAGAAACATGGTGTGAAGCCAGCCCAAGCAGGAAAGTCCATAAGACTCTAATGTCAATAAACCACCAAGAAGCCAGAAATAGAGCTGTGGCTCAAGTGGTAGAGGATCAGTTTTGAGTGAAATAGCTAAGGGACAGGCCCCAAGTGCAAGTGCTGGTACCAAATAAATAAATTAATGAAATTGAGTGATAAAGACATACACTGCATAAGTTCAGAAGAATATAAACCCAAATACCAAAAAAGTGGTTACCTTTAGTTGGTAGGATTATAAGTAATCTTTTTTAAAGTAACTTCCTTTGTGTTCTGACTGTTGTAATTATTTACTTTCTGAATCATCAGATAAATTGTAACATCATTTCCCCTGACAGTTCAGAACAGCACATGCACAGCTTACTGGGTCAAACTGCAGAACCCAGGAATGTGGTTTTAAAAATAGTTCAGCAGCTCAGTGGAAAATATCAAAGAGCCTGAGCTGGAAGGAGGCAGGCAGCAGGCAAAATCTGGGTCAGGTATCAGGTGGCCTCCTGGGTAACCCTGCACATGCATGGCCCCTCCTGGGCTTCCATCCACCCCAGTCCCCAATCAGAGTGGTGGCACATCAGATCCATGATGGAGCACCTGCTGAGCATTCGCAAGGCCCACAGAGAGAACTGCCTGGTCTTACACTACAGAGCAAAGACTCAGAACCCTATGGCTCACCTGGGCACCAGGACCCCTGATAAACTCCATCCTCTGGTGTGCAGGGATTGTGTCTTGGATGTGTATTTGGTATGTCCACTGCAGAGGAGAACTGCATTTCCCAGGAGCAGTTTCCAGATCCTCACTTCTGAGTCACCCTGAATCAGGTGGTCATTCTGAATGCTCTTGGAGGTCAGCCTGATTAGACTTAATTAAGTGGGAGGAGTGGTCTCCTTTACCTTCTGGTCTGAGCTTACCCCTAGGTGCAAATGAAGGCCTGGCCCACTGCCCCTATGGTTGGTGGGCATCTTTCCAAAGCCTTTACCTCCAGAAAGGCCCCAGCCCTCCTCTCCATGGCTGCTCACGCCACCCCCTTTGCCACTCATACTGTTTGGTTTCTGCCAGCACTGGCTCAGGCACCTGCTGTCTGCCTCTCCCCATGACATGAGCGACCAGGAGCAGGCCCACTGTACACCAGGCACTTTGGCTCATGGCACACACTCACAGTGCAAGCTGCCTGAATGAGAGAAGGAACAAATAAAAGGAACTATAGACATGACAAGAAAAAGAAACCCAGCCAGGGGTAAGGATAAAGGAAAAAATAAATGCGCAGGCTTTGTGATGTAAGAGAGTTAAGGAGCCTGCTCAACATCTGGGAAAACCAAAAGGGCTTCAGGTTGGGGACAAGGTCATAGCCAAACAACCTTTCTGTGTGAGGGCCCCTGCACCATGCCTGCTTGTCCCTGAGCATCAGGCTGCAGGCCCTGCTGGACTGAGAAACAGGCCATGCCAGGTGCTCCCACACGCCAATCCTCCTGAGCAACTCCTCTGCATCTTAACAGAATGTGGCCTCCATGAGCCCCTGAGCGTTATGTGGCCACCGTCCCCAGACTGGGCGCACAGGGCACTGATAAACTTCTGACATCTGCCCAGTGCCAGGAGTCAAGTTCACCTCCATAACCCTAGGGTAGATCCTTCTCCCACTGAGGGGGTGAGGGAGCACCAACACTAACCCTCCAGCCAGTCCTCCAGCCTTGCCAGGCTGCTCCATATTTTTGTAAGGCCACAGTCCCTGCCCTCCTAAGCATATGTATATAATATCTGCCTCCAGCCCCACCCCACCCCAGGGCTCTGCATGCTCCAGCACTGCTCCCCATGTTTCTCGTTTTCTGGAGACTTTGGGGCATTTCTACCTGCTCAATGCATTCCAGTGAGTAGTTCTGCTGGGCTTTAAGAAAAAGTTGAGGGGCTGGGAAGGTGGCTCAGTGGTAGAGTGCTTGCCTTGCATGCATAAGGCCCTGGGTTTGATTCCTCAGCACCACATAAGCAGAAAAAGCCGGAAGTGACACTGTGGCTCAAGTGGAAAATGCTAGCCCTGAGCTGAAGAGCTGAGGGACAGCACCCAGGCCCAGAGTTCAGGCCCCACGACAGGATCCAAAAAAATAAAAAGAAAGAAAGAAAAGAAAAAGGTGAGCTGGGGTGGGCCTCCCCCAATCAGATGAGTCTGCAAAGGAAACAGCCGCTCCTAACCAGGGAGATTTCTCCCTGCTGGCTATGAAACCAGAAGGACACAGGCTAACAATAGGAACAGCCTCACATCCAATTTTTATGCTTTTTGTAAATCAGTTCAAAATGTTAAAATTACAGAAAAATGTGGGATGGGGGAATGGCCTCAACAAGGTAAGAGCAGCCCCTGATTGACAGCCAGCAGGGTCTGGGGCCATGATCCTGTAGTTAATAGGACTGTGACCACCAGGTATGGGCCTAGACGCAGATCGCCAGAGCTTTGAGAACAGAGCTCAGTCTGGCCAGCACCTGGCTTCCAGTCTTTAACTCCCTGAGCAGAGTTACCTCCCATACCCTCTGCTCACAGCACTGTGAGTGGGTGCCACGCCATGTTTATGACAATTTGTGACACAGCAATAGAAAACACAGACCCAGGGCTACCAAACCTGATTTTTTTTTTTTTTGGTTGGTTGTGGAGTTTTAACTCAGAACTGGGGTGGGGGTGGTGGTACTGTTCCTGAGCCTTTTCAGTTCAAGGCTAGTGCTCTATCACTTTGAGCCACAGTAGCACTTCCTGTTTTGGTTCATTGGAGATAATGGTCTCAGGACAACTAACCCACTCTTAGGGGAACTACATTGCTTTCTTCAGGAGGGGGACTCTCTCATGGCCCCAAATGCCTTTTAAAAGCTCCACCACCTTTGCACATCATTGTATTTGGAGTTTGGGTGTGGACAGCCATGCTGATGCCATTGCTCTCACATGACTAGAATGCACTTGCAGCTGCAGCTCAGCCTTGGTCCCTCTGGCCCTGCTCCCATTGCTGATGCCCGGGTGAGTAGCACTGCAGGTTGAGCAGATGCCAATCAGGCCATGTGAGGGCAACCAAGTAGACACAGAGTTGCTGAACATAACAGTCATCAGAAGGAGACAAAATTTTATGTACCACACAATGGGCTCACACCATTGTGACATCAATAATAAAAAAATTCACTCCTCATATATCACCATTATAATAACAATAATTAAAAAAAAAGATTAAGTTCATCTCTATCACCAGCAACTACAAGAATTTTGCCCAATATCCAGGAAAGGCAGTAGTGAGGCGGCTTCCTAGTGCTGCCCAGCACCTTGTTATCCAGTACTTCTTACCTGGAAGTAGTTCAGGAGCATGCCGGCCCATGACAGCCCCAGGCCTGCAAACAGGAAGGGTACTATCACCTGCATGCCAACGGCCAAGGCAGTCTCCTGGCTGGGCTCAACCTCCAGTGGTTGAGGAGCCACAGGGGCCACCACTTGCACATCTTCTGATTCCTCAGCAAGTCTTCCTGTGCTGACAGAGGATGGCAGTCCTGGCTCCTCCGGCCTGGCACAACCTTCCAGCCTCCGATGTCGGGTCTCCGTCCCTTCCATCTGCCCACAGTGGACCCACAGCCTTAATCTGGGAGACACAAAGCAATAGAGCAGAAGGGTAGAACACTTGACTCCAGGGGGTACCAACTTCCCAGGGCCCTGGGTCTGGGTCCCATCAGACCTCCTGCAGCCCCCCCCATGGGGTCAGCCTACCTGCACCCACGGTTTATTATTCACAGGTACAGGTGTGAGGACAAGGCACACACACAGCGGGTGCTAATGTGTATCGACTGCAATCCACACCTGTGCAGAGATCACCTCCGAAAGCACCTCTATCCTTGGAGTGACCAGAAAACCTGCACCCGGGTGCAGTTCACACAGAGTGTGTGTGGAGCTCGCTCAGGCCTGGGTTCTCCCCAGCACAGCAAAAGCATAAGTTCAGCAAATAAGAAAAGTGGCAAAATACCTGTTTGTTTTTTGTTGTTGTTTTGTTTTTGTCGGTCATGGGGCCTGAACTCTGGGCCTGGGCGCTGTCCCTCAGCTCTTCAGCTCAAGGCTAGCACTGTACACCTTGAGCCACAGTGCCACTTCCAGCTTTTTCTGCTTATGTGGAATCAAACCCAAGGCCTCATGCATGCAAGGCAAGCACTCTACCACTGAGCCACCTTCCCAGCCCCAAAATACCTGTTTCCCAACTCTGAAAATTAGTCCCAGGCTTGTTAAGACTGGAGAGTAGCCATTCCTAAACTCTGAGTCTCCCTCAATAAGAATGGAAACACTGTAATGTTTATGGTGTTGGTGTAACATTTGTGGTGCTGGTGTTATGTTTGTGGTATGATGTTCATGTGTGACATGTTGGTGTAACATGTGTGACATTTATGGGATTGGTATAACATATTGGTGTAATGTCCATGGTGCTGGTATAACGTTCATGGCGTTGGTGTAACATGCTGGTATGTTTGTAGTACTGGAATAATATGGTGTCAGTGTAACATTTGTGGTGTTGGTGTGATGTGTTGGTGTATGTCCTTGGTGCTAGTCTAACATTCATGGTATTGGTGTGATGTTCATGGTGTTGGTGTAACATGTTAGTATAATATTTGTGGTGCTGATGTAACATTCATGGAGCTGGTATCATGTGTTGGTGTAATGTTCATGGTGTTGGTGTCAGATGTTGGTATAACATTCATGTTGGTGTTGTGACACCTGTGGTGTTGGTGAAAATAATTAATCTCTGCTCCCCCCCCTTGTTTATAGCCTTAAAATGAACAGCCCACATAGACAGAGTAAATCATAGCCTGGAGGTTAGGAATGCACTGGTTTCTCTCAAAGACTTGTACCATCAAGATTCCACTGGAGCCAGGTACCAGTGGCTCACGTCTGCAATCCTAGCTAGTCAGGAGTCTGAGATCCGAGGCTCACAGTTCAAAGCCAGCCCAGGCAGGAAAGTCCATGAGACTCTTATCTCCAATTAACCACCAGAAAACTGGAAGTGGTGCTGTGGCTCAAGTGGCAGAGTGCTAGACTTGAGCAAAAGAAGCTCAGGGACAGTGCCAAGGCCTGAGTTCAGGCCCCAGGACAAAAAAAAAAAAATGCATACAGATAATGAACAAAAACCAGCCCCGAAGGCCAGGATGCAGGAAGCACTTCCAAAGAGTGGGCTCTCGTGGGGAGTAGGCTGTGGATCTAGGAAGCCCTCTTGTCCTTTAGCCCAGTAGAGTGAGCTGACCATGGGCACTAGCTCTAGATAGGGATCCCATCCAGGTTCAGCTAACCCCCAAGGATATGAGGTAATGTTTGTCACACAAGGGAGGGTGCTGCACCTGCCCTCCCCCCATGTCAACAGTGTGGAGGCTGAGAGATACACCCTCCCCCTCTTTCCTGGCTATTGGAAGGCAGAGACTAAGTCCCTCCCTACTCTAGCAGGTTGATGTAAAGCCAACGACCCTCCCTGCTGCCACCAGGGGGCGGCTGTCTCCATCAGAATGAGTAGCAAACAGCCACTGCCACCCAGAAGTGTCCCATCTCCAGGTATGGCCTGTGGACCCTCCAGTAGTAACACTCTCCCCTCTGGGGCCTGGCTCTGTACCTCATACAAACTCCTGCTAGGTAGACATTCCTGGCCATGAACTGGGTGGGCCCAGGCCTGTGGTCTCTCTGTTCAGCTGCCTGCTGCTGGCTGCCATGGACAATGAGACCACAGGGCATCTGGGCTTCATCTAAATTTCACAGGTGACTGCCACTGCAGTAGAAATGTATTGGAGACCAAGCTTTAGAGTAGAATCCCAGATCTTATGGCTGGGGATGTAGCTCTGAGGTAGAGCAGCACCTACCTAGCTTTATCAAGGCCCAAGGTTCAATCCTCAGATCAACACTAAAAAAAGACCCCTCAGAATCCCAGCTTTCCCCTTGTCTAGAAAGAGTAAGGTGTCTGTCTCCTCACTGTCTCATCTGTCAAATGAGGGTACTACTGCCACAGAGCTGGGGAAATTAAATGGGGACATGGGAGACCTCTTTACCCAACTTCACTTTCCAAGATTGTAGATACCTGCCACCATCTGTGATCCACAAATACTAAAAGAAGATCCCATGAGTAAATAATTCATGTGTTTTAAGTTACTGAACAGCCTGGTGAAATTCTCACCGTCCAGCTCCACCCCACAAAGACTGCTGACCATGTTTGGTTCAGCGTGTTCACCCTGTCTATATTCCTCACCTGGGTGTCACCTGAGAGTCATCTCAACAAATCAGGGTATCATGGGTCAATAACCCTTACTTTAGTAAACAATGGTCTCAAAGGATGAGAATGGTGATGTTGAGTTTCTTCGGGTATAGTGCTTTAACTGCTCTCCTATTAGCTGTCGACCTGTGTCTAGGTCACAAATCCGAAGTTCCTCCTAGTATGTCTGTACGGGGACACAGGACACACTGTGGAGGTGCCAGCATTCGTTGGGGTACTTATCCACCGGGAACCGGCCTGTCCACTCCCAGGCTGCTCCAGGGGAGGTCGGCTGGAGTCTGAATAGAAACCGACTGTCCGGGCCTGGCGGGATGTCTGCGGGGACCCCGGGGGGCGGGCCGGGCCTAGGGGGTCAGCAGGGGCCCAGGAGAGAGCGGTAAAGGCTTCCTGGGATGCTGGGGAAGCCAACGCTTGACGGAGGGCCGGGCCGGGCGGGGACTGAGGGAGCCGAGAGCCTGGACGAGGGGCCGGACGGGGACCGAGGGAGCCGCGTCCGGACGGGGAGCCGGGGCCGGGCGGGGACTGAGGGAGCAGAGAGCCTGGACGAGGGGCCGGACGGGGAGCCGGGGCCGGGCGGGGACTGAGGGAGCCGAGAGCCTGGACGAGGGGCCGGGCGGGAACTGAGGGAGCCGCGTCCGGACGGGGAGCCGGGGCCGGGCGGGGACCGAGGGAGCCGCGTCCGGACGAGGGGCCGGGCGGGGACTGAGGGAGCCGCGTCCGGACGGGGAGCCGGGGCCGGGCGGGGACTGAGGGAGCCGAGAGCCTGGATGAGGGGCCGGGCGGG